TCTCGTGGGCAGTGCTGCTTTGGGAGAAATTGTACAAACTATGCACATTGTTTGTGAGTTGCGGTTTAAAGGCATAAAATATACAGGGCAAATGCTTTTAGGTAATGATAGTTGGATATAATTGTGGGAAAGGGGGCTGTGTGTGAAGACAGATGTGAAAGAGGAGAGAATAATTGAGCATCATCTCAGAGCGTGAAAAGCTTTGAGTGGATAGTTAAGATGTGTAGTGGAGAAATAAAAACCATCAAGACAAACTGCTTTTAAAACCTAGAACATTTATCTTTTTTTCTCAAAAACTTGGTAATACTGAGTTGTACAAAGTACCAATTGAGAGACTGCATGTTTGTTTGAGACAAAAAATGCCCGTAGTTTAAAAACAAAGTTTGACAGAGACCAGTGTTGTCTCCACAGTATGGAGGTGGTATTCACACGAGTACACGGAGCAAAGAAAAACAAAGTTTAACACCAGGTACATCTTTGATTTGTGTGCCCCTTAATCTGAGAAGGGTACATTACCTTAACAGATGTGAAAGACACCCGTTATGAAATGCAATTTCATTTATGAACAGCTGTTGTACAAAACCAGAAAAGGTCAGTTGAGTTTAGGAGTGAAGTATAGGCCTCGAAATGCTCCCAAGTATAGGAGTATCCTTAAGCGTGAGCATCAAATCATGTGCAAATGAAGTAAAGCTGATACTGCCCGTCCACGCCGGGTGAACTCATCTGTCTGCGCTATAAAGCTGAGGTTACATAATTTATTCCAAAATGAGCAAATTCTTTTGACTTATTTAACTAATTCCATTTCAAAACATCACAGTTTAAAGGACATCTCGGTGTGAGATGAGTCCTTCTGCATGGGTGGGGCTGGGTATCAAACCTCAATACTTCCTTTTGTACCTATCGATATCGAGACATTTTAATCAATGAAAGCTGGCATCAAATGTCTGACCTGATTTGTTAACTTTTACCAATTCTTTAGTCAAATTATTGCTGATTGAAATCAAAAGCCTTGAGTTTTATTTAGGGTTTGTCTGATTGTGTTGAGATGAATGGTCCCAACATTTTCTGCTGGTGTTCGTCAAAGACAAGGCCCTGCATGTCCCTGTGCTGCCACCTGCTGCATGTCTCAATCAAAGTGCTTGTCTGCTTAAATTGCAGAAGCGTCTTACTCCAATTGTACAGGAAGAAATTAAATAAAGTGAAAAAGAAAGATTGTTTTTGTTTGCTGCCCTGCCCTAACCCTAATTACCACATGTCACCAGTCAACACTCAACATTTGGGAATTACTTCAAATATTGAACTAATTGTTGTATTGGTACTGAAAATCAGTTACTGCATCAGTATTGATACCTAGTCCTACCCCTGCTATCTTTATCCCATCATCTCACATTCAATAAAATATATTTATCTGAATTTCTTTTGCACCTTGTGAAAACTCGGATATGTAATTAAAATGTCCCAAGTTATGATTTTTTAAAACTTGAGAAAATGCAGCAGCAGTGTGAGATTCTTTTTGACAACATATATGTATGCAAGTACATATATTACCTGTGCTTTATAAACTATTTCAAACCAATAGCTTCCGGTTTGGTTTTGCTCTTATGACAGGACTCTGAGTGTTCAGTTTGAGAGGTAATGTTGGATGCATAGCATAGCCCTGAGTTACAATTTAGATAAAAGGGCTATTAGTTATAATAATCTGACAGAAACACAACGTCAACAGAAATCTGGCAACAACCAATCTCATGGTGAGCTTCTGGGAAATACATTCGGTTCCCGGTCACGAATAATTGGAAGATCCTTCTCAGGAAGTTTTTTTTTTTTTTCTCTTGCACAATGAAACAAATGTTTCTCTTTGTGGAAAGCACATAAGTCACACATTTTAGGGGGAATCTTTGGCCAGTCAGGTGAGGGGATATGGGACTCTTTTAAGACAGTAAGTGTTTGAATGAAGTATATTGTTGGTCAGGATTGTGTTTAAATATATGTAATCTCTTAAACATTTTTTGTTAAAGAGTAGGGGGCTAATTTGTTTGCAATGTTTATAATTATTTGGGATTTGAGCTCTAACTTTGACTGAACAAATTGTATTACTTCATCATACTGCAAGGAACTCACTGTTTGCAAATAATACCTCTGCGACTATAATATTTAGCAATGATAAAAGGGAGGTTCAAGTATTATAGAAGGGAAAAAAATCCTAGAAGTGAATGTAGAAACTAAGTTGCATTCACATAGCACCATAGTACTTTAAAAATGTCCAATCAGTACTTGTTAACATTGTACATTTGAATTTTCTCCACATTTAATTGAAATAAGTATTTTGGCATTTCTCTGCTGATCACATTAAAAAATATATAGACCTCTGTTTACAAAAACGGCTGCTGTAAACAAAGCTTTCACCTCCTTGTAAACATTTAGAAACTTTCAGTTTATAGTGTTTCTCTTTCCGTTAAAAACATGTCAGTTTATTAAGGAGTGATCGCAGGTTCTCGTTCTATATACTGTGACTTCCACACATCATACGTGTGGTGCAGCATTAGTAATATGTTGTGTTTTTACTCTAAAAACTTCTGTCAAATGTCAAATCTGTTGACATTTGTTGAGTACTTCTTTAAAAAGTGGGTAGTTTAAGTTAAAGGGTTCTTGTTGTAGGAGCAGAATCTACAAGCAGGTATTATATAAGGCAAAAAAAACAATTGACATTGGGGGTTACCAAAGCAACCTCATCCCAAGACCAACATTTGGTATGAAGCTTTTCCAAGAGGAGAACATGTGATAAAACAAACATTTACAGTGTGCAAAAACACAAAGAGGAGCAACAAACGGGCAAATACTTCACTCCTTTAGAAGTGTGTCTCGGGTCGGATGGTGTCAGAGTTTTAACATGAGCAGTAATCTGTACAGAAGGGGGAGGGGGGCAGTGTTCTGAAGGGGAGGCTCTCTCAGGCTGCACTACCTGTGGACCGGCAGGTGCAGCCCGTTGAGGGGGGTGAGCGGGTGGTACAGGGGGGGGTGCAGCTCCAGCTGGGCCAGCAGGGAGAAGTGGTCCGAGGGGATGTGGGGGTGGGGGCAGCCGGTGATGCTGTTGTCGACGAGCCACTGGCTGTCCAGAGGCCCCATCAGGCCTAGGACACTCATGTGGGTCTTTGAGAAGAAGATGTAGTCGATCACGCCCTGCAAAGACAACATGTGATATGAGTTTAAGGGGGGGGGGGCAATATGTTCCCATGTGTGACGAAAAAGACTCTGTACACTGAGACTGAATACTAAAGTTTAGAAGAGTTTTTATCAATAAATAATATTTTATCTGAGTTTCAATCTGGTTTTAGGAAAAAACACAGCACTACAACAGCTGCCTTAAAAGTAGTAAATGATCTTATTTACTTCTTAGACAATAGAGAGCATTGCGCAGCACTTTTTATTGACTTCTCAAAGGCTTTTGACACAGTGGATCATGCCTTACTGTTACAAAGACTTGTTAGTATCGGTCTTTCAGGTAAGGCTGTCTGTTGGTTCAAGAATTATCTTTCATGCAGATCACAGTGTGTGCAGGCAGAAGGCTTAACTTCAACATCTCTTCCGGTATCCAAGGGTGTGCCACAGGGATCTGTTTTAGGACCATTGTTATTTATTATTTACATTAACAGTCTTAATAACAATGTTTTGAATGCAAATTTGCATTTTTATGCTGATGATACAGTTATTTATTGTTCTGCGTCCACCCCGAAGCAGGCTCTTTGTCAGCTCCAGAATGCTTTTAACATTGTACAATCCAACATGTGTGATTTGAAAGTGTGGTCTTAAATGCTGCAAGATCAAAGCCACTGATGCTTCGGTCGAGGCAAAACCGCAGAGCTCTCTGAGTCCTAAAACCCTATCTCCTAAATTAGTCTCCCCCACGGGCACTGAACACTGCATTCTCATTACTCTCCCTGACACGGTATTTTCTCCCGATGTTTACGTTCGTCTTTCCCGTCATCTCAAGCCACCGTTTATTGCCTCTACATCTTTAGGAACATATTTTTACTCCCACCGTTACGTTTCTTACGTGAAGCGTATCTTTAAGATAGTTTATTTCTAGGATACTGTGTGTTGCCACTTTATTGTCCTGGCTTATAATAAGTGTAATAATAGTTCATTTATAAAATCATTTTAGAACACACGATTTGGAACGCGGTCAGTAGGACGGGCTGTAAGTTTCGCCAGCTGTTCTCTCATCGAGTGAGCGCAGAAATAGAATCAGTTTAACATGCAAAAGCTGCTGGTCGTTTATGTGCACCTCAAAATTGACAAATCGAGTTACGTCTTTCTGTACTTCCTCTAAGAAGAAANCTTTCAGCTAATTTCCATCCGCAGTCCCTCACAAAAAAACATTTAAGAAATTTACATTTTACAAACATTGTAAAAACAAAATACATGTTGTGCAAAAAGTGCAAGAGAGCAAGAGCAGCATACACAAGTATTTATGACATGGTAATACAATATAGCAGCAACGACATGTAAAGTGCAAGAGAAGATACAAGAGCTACCTAAAGTGCAAGAGGAGATACCCCTGTGTTAAAGTGCATTTAGTAGTGATAGAAAAGTCTGTTTGTTTCTCATCCATTCTTTGAGTTGACCTTTGAAGCTATTGTTGATTGTGAGACAATCCCGTATCTCAGTTGGGAGGCTATTCCAGAATGAGCTGCCCTTAATTGAAAGTATATTTTGTCCAAAAGTGGTCAATCTACGGTGGTCTTCAGTCTCCTCTGGAGTTATACTCTTGCATAAAAACCCACATTACTATGTTCAATCTGAATTTACTAATAAAAACATCTATATTGATTCTGACTTTTCTACAGCCAACTCACAGGTGTATCATTGCTTTGAGAAAAACGATTATTAATTTACCCCTTTTAGAAGTGAAGATAGTCATTTGTTCTGGTCATGTCATTTTCGAGCCTGCGAGCTGAAAAAGAGGCTCAGGGCTTAACAGGTGAGGCATGTGTTACCAAGAGAGAAATAAAGACACATTGATTGTGCATTGTTCCTTTTGCAGAGACTCCTTCTATCTTTGCTTGTTAAACAGCGGGACCAGCTTTATATCTGGATTTGCCATTTTCTCAGTTTTGGGCTACATGTCACAAAAACAGGGTGTCGACATTGCTTCAGTTGCCGACTCAGGTATGAATGTGAATATACTCTTGCTAATTCATTGACTGTTCCTTATTTCATAATGCTATCTTTTATGTTTTCCCTGCCTTAAAGGTCACCTATTAAGCAAAATCCACTTTTTTATGTCTTTTATACATCAACATGTGTCCCCTCTGTGTAAAGAGATTCTGAAAGTTTCAGAAAAAAATATTCACTCTCTTTTCGTCTTGATCCATTTATATAAAAACCTGTCTGAAAATGAGCTGATCAGATTTTGGCCACTTTATGATGTCATAACGATTTTTTTGGCTTGTGTAACCATTAGCCAATAACCAACCAAGGTAACCCCCGCCCACCTTACCACCTGAGTCTCCTACTAGAGCACCTTTGTGTTTTTTAACCAAATATCTCTCCCAGGGGCGTGCGGAGGGGCTCCTTATTTTCATCTAAAGTAACAGACATAGAATCAGCACTTTTGAAACAGTGCTGAAACAGAGGGGATTATGGGATTCAACAATGGGTGATCTGTTGGGTATTTCGAGCCAAAAACTTCAGAGACATGTTTTGTATATATCCTAGACCGATGATATATTGATGAAAAAGAGTATAATATAGGAGACCTTTAAATAATTTAAAACTGTACAAGTCTCGGTTGCAGGGAGCTATGGTTTACTCTCTGTTGATTTCACTCTGCAGGCCCCGGCCTCGTGTTCATAGTCTACCCACAAGCTGTGACCCTTCTGCCGTTTCCTCGATTCTGGTCGATGTGTTTCTTCATCATGATCATCTTGTTAGGAATAGATGGACAGGTCAACTGCAGCCTTACTCACGTCTCCCTCAACAAATGTCCTCTGATGTTTCTTCTTTTGTCAACCTTCCACACTGACTTGCCTGTTCGTCATTCCCCAGTTTGTTGGGCTTGAAAGTCTCATGACCTCTCTATCAGACGTCTACCCATCCCAGATCCGAAAAGGATATCGCAGAGAGCTTCTTCTGCTGCTGATCTGTGCTGTCTCCTATATGTTAGGCCTCGTTTTGGTGTCACAGGTGAGCAGAAAGAATTCATCATTTGAACTTTATTTTCAGTCTGATCAATTTACCTCCAAAATCCATGTTTATTCGAGACCAATGTATCAGGTTTTATTTATATAGCACATTTAAAAAACGATTTTTGGTCGAGCGAAAATGCAATGTATGATCGAGGACTGTTTTAATTTTAGGCCGGAGCATACATTCTGTCGATATTTGATCACTATGTATGCAGTGGTCCCACTCTGCTTCTGATGGCAATCTTCCAGTCTGTAATTATTGGATGGATCTATGGTAAGTCAATGCTAGCCTACAATTGTCTGTTATTTTTTACGTTACATTGCCATCTGCCTCATTGTACAACCTTAAAGGGGACCTATCATGCAAAATGCACTTTTTTATGTCTTTTATACATAAACATGTGTCCCCGGTGTGTCAGGGAACTCACGCAGCGTCTAGAAATCAAAACCCTCGTCTCGTTTTTCCTCGCCCTTTCCCAACATCTCTAAAAACGGAAGGTACATCTCTCTCAACAACAACAACTGGAGAGGAGAAAAGAGCAAGAGAGTACCTACCGTTTTTGAGAGATTTGGCGAAAGGAGGAAAAGAGAGATGGGGGTTTTATTTCTGGACGGCTGCGTGAGTTCCCTGACACACCCNCAGAAAATAAAACCCTCTCTCTTTTCCTCCTTTCCCAAATCTCTAAAAACGGAGGTACAATGGAGCTGATCCAGATTTGCGGCGATTTGACGTCATATCGGCGGCGGACCCACAGCACTATCAGAAACGTTGCGATCATAAAAAATGCCCGACTGTTTTGGACGTAATATGGTCGGTGTTTACATTAGCATCGCTAACACTCCTTACATTGAACAAAAATTGATTTAATAAAAAAATCAGTAAAAAAAAAATTCTTATTTGTTTAATTAGATCCGACGATTTTAACCTGTACTGGAGAGAGCATTTGTGTGAAGAAGCAGGAAATAAAAAGGAACTCGTGGTAAACCTGAGAGAGAAAGCCTTTGAGCTCCATACTGTTTCAGAAATAATCCTTGATAATCCATGATATGGCGTTTCATCACGGCAGTATCTGCCGGTAGAATCTCCCGCATAAGCTCCGCGCCTCTTTTTTAACAATTATTTTCTTTTTAAAGCTTTATACATAAAATCAGCACTTTTGAAACAGGAAGTGAAATAGAGGGATATGAGGCATGGCTAGAATGGGTGATCTGTTTGGTATTTTGAGCAAAACACTTCATACTTCATAGACATGTTTTTTATATATTTGTATATATCTGAGACCTATGCTATTGCCTAAAAATTGCATGATAGGTGACCTTTAAAACTGGTCGTGTTAAATAGGCGGCGTTATACCTTTGAGGCGTCTGAAATAGTCTGTGACCTGATGTTTAATGGGAAGAGGCCCAATGTACTTTAGTTTGTAAGTTAGTTAGTTCATATGTTAGTAGGTTAGTATGTGAAAGCTTGGAGGATAACTTAGTATAAAATACATGCTGTACTGTATAGTAAGTGTGATGTGTTATTCTCTTTTAGGTGCTGACCGCTTCTGTGACAACATTGAGGACATGATTGGGTATAAACCTATGTCCCTGTTAAAGTACTGCTGGATGTATGCCACACCTCTTATTTGTAGTGTAGGTATTTCTATGAGGCCATAATGACATGTGGTTATGTAAATGACCTTTTATTTTATCTAACTGTTGATATATTTATTTATGTGCTTCTCTTTAAAGGGCACACTTGTGTTTATGCTCCTGAAATACACCCCTCTGAAGTTCAACAACTCCTACGTGTATCCTTGGTGGGCATACTGGATCGGCTGGTTCCTGGCCATGTCATCTCTCTCGATGATTCCTGTGACCATGGTCTGCAAACTGGCCAAAGAAAAAGGAACTCTCTGGCAGGTCGGTGGTTGTTTTAGTGTCATTTTACATTTACTATTCCACAATTTTAATAAGCATTTAAAGTGTCTGAACTTCATACGAACCCAGCTTTTGTTGCCTGTTCATGTTTTGCTGGAAGTGATCTTTTTTGACGATAGAAATACCTTCTTCCTCTAGCGTATCAAGTTATGCTCCCGACCTGCAGATGATCTTACAATGAGGACAACGACAAATGCAAGCATCAGCGCCTCCCTGCAAGCCCCTGATACTGGACAAAACATCAAAGTGTAATAAAATGCCATTTCTCTTTTTGTTTTATAATCTTTTTTTGTTGCATTTCAAAAATATGTAGAGCAGATTTTTTGTATGTAGCCTATGTGGTGGCGGTGTGTATTGGTTTCCAGATTTTTTTTAAAAGCGGATATCCGAATACAGTATACTAAATGTCTAATATTTGGAATTGTTTCAGATACTGATTGTACATACTGTACTAAATAGAGTTGCAAACTATTTTCAAATATGTGCTTCTGAAATACCTCAAATCTTAAAATACAATAATGTTCTGAATGTTTTAGCCAATTCACAACTTTTACATTATTGCCTTCTGTAAGTAGGGAATCACTGTAGTTTATTACTGTTCACATTCACATTATCAAAAGGAATTTACTGAAACTTTGAATTCATTAATAAACATCCATCACAGTGAGCAAAAGGATGGTTAAACGTAAAGTGCTGCCTAAAATGTGAAAGTACGAAGACACAAGAGTGCTGAATTACAAGCATGGTGCTTATAAAGGGCCTTCCTCAATTCTAGTAATTCCTTTACTAAAGTAGATTTCAAATATTTCTCTATAACAATGTCTATGAGATTAACACAAAAAAACAATGATATAATCAATGTTGTTGCATTGTTGTATTTTAAAAAAAATTTAAATTGGGAAAGTTAAAAAAAAATGTTAAATGTAAGATACTGTGTGACTTTAGGATAAGTATCAGTGGCAAAGTAGACTCAACTCAGGGGTGCACTTGGTGTCTTTGTGATCAAATGTGCGGAAGTCTCTGAAGGTCCTGACAACATTAACATTATCAGTAGTGCTGACGTTGATTTATCAGAAACAAGTCTCTTAGCTCTTACATCTGTGATGTGACCTTGACTACAGTAAAACAAACTCATCTCATTGACTAACTACATTTTCTTTGAGATTTATACTGATTTAAGAGAAATGTGTGCTTTTTCCTGTCTTATACTTCATATAATAAGCCAAATAAATATACTTGTTCATGCTGTTAAAATAAGTGTTCAACTACTTGCTGCTTGAATTTTGTAATGCAAATCCTTTTGTGCCTTCTTTTTGTAGGTATAGTATTTTTATTGGAAAACTGAATTTAAAAAATATATATAACTTGTCTTTATACATGACTTTACATTTCTACAATAAAATACTTTGTGGCAATATGGTTCGTTTTTTTTCTTGAAAAATGTGTTATTATCGGATTCTTTCTTTTTAAATCAGTTATAATGTGAATTTTGTTCTTTATTATAATGGTTTTCGGTCTAAAAGTACATAAGAAAATTATTAGAAAATTCCCAGGAGAAAATGTTACATAATCTGATTTCTTTTTACTTCTTTCTTCAGTTCACAAAGGAAAACAAGTCATCAAATGTATTAACCTGGACCTAACACATTTTGGCCTTTTTCATGAAAAACACAATCCAAGTAGCTGGTAGTAGATTTCCTATTCTGTCCTGAATTACTACTCAACTTTTATTTCAATATTTATATTGGCTTCAATGTTTTCGGTTCCTCTACCTTTAAAAATTGGTGCTAGTGCATTACGGTCATAGATAAACTGTTCTTATATACAATGAAGGAATAGAGACTTTTAAACATTTAACAAACATTGATTTAATAAAAAAATCTGTAAAAAAAATAATTCTTATTTGTTTAATTAGATCTGACGATTTTGATATCATCGACAGGACGATCTTGTCCGCTTGTCTCCACCATCCCAACTCGGTTCACCACGCTCATCCCCTGGCACACTCTACCAAAAATAGTGTGCTTCCCATCCAACCACTGAGTGGGTCCGAGAGATAAGAAGAACTGGCTTCCGTTGGTGTCCGGTCCTGCATTGGCCATCGCCAGAATACCGGCACCTAACACACACACACATAAAATGAGCTACAATGTTGAGACTTTTTGCAGTTGACATTCCCACATTAAATACAAGTATTACATAAATATTTAGGAATCTAACACAATTCTTGAAGCAAAGCAGCACCAACGTTTCCATGACATTGGTATACATCCACTTTAACAAATTCATTTAAATATATACCGAGTTGCTAGTTTATAAAAAGGTACAGCTCCCTAAACACATGCATTTTTAAAACAGCTAAGAAACCAATCTAGCATTGATTTAGGAAAAAAAACAAAAAAAAAACATTTGGGACTCAGTAGTGACGCACTACTGTTGCAGGAGTCTTTTCATAATCTAAGAAGCTATTTTTACTCACTTACAACATTGTGTTTGATTTAGTATTTCTTCTCTTACTGCAATTACCTGTAAATTTCAGGTCTGGGTGAAGCTCATCTTCAAACTGTTTACCAAATATGGAGGCACCACCTCGACCTGTTAAAAATAACACAGATTAGTAAACTACAGATATACTACCAAATGACAATATACAGTTATGAACATCGAACTGTGAGGTACATCAGGGTTCTAACCTAATTATACACTCGTAAGGTCAAAGAGGTAAGATTTGGGTTATTAGTTCAGGCTCACACAGTTTCAAGTTATATTGATGAGTTGCCAAAAGTAATGTGTGATCATGAGCTTGTCTTTAATGTTGGTATTACGAGTAGGACACCCTTAAAAACGAGGACCCATCTCAAGGGGCTTTCACTACATTTCCCAGCACAGCACAGCTTTTTAATGGCCCAGTAATTACTTGGGATGTCTTACTTATTAAGAAATACGTAAGTTTGTGTAAATCAAAAGGACTCCATTTAATAAATATTGTAATATAATCCTTCTAAATTGTATTTCCCTTGTCGATGTACCACTTTGACTAGAGCCAATTGCGTAGTTCTTCTAGGTAAGGAAACCTTACCTAGCCAAACCCATTAAAGATCTGTATACAAAGTGCTTTAATATATGATGCACTCACCTGTTCCTGTAGGGTCTCCTCCCTGCACCATAAAATCTTTGATTACTCGGTGAAACTTGGTGTTGTTGTAGTAGCCTCTTCTGGCCAACTCTGCAAAATTCTTGCAGGTTTTTGGCGCATGTCTCCAGTACAACTCCACCACAATAGACCCCATCCTGCAAGGCATGCTCATTATTATTTGTGCGTCTTTCTGATGGTGTGTTTGAGACTATACAAAGCCATATCATCTGTTTGAGTAAGTTACCCAAGCAAGCCCAACACTAAACTAGCATCTCCAAATCGATAACATGGCGTTAGTGAAAGCTAGGTTAGCACAGTTAGCTTTCAGCAGATTTGAAAAACTTACGTCGTCTCCAAAGTCACTGTTGGCGGCTGCCATGTGTCTGCGGGTATCCCTGACATTATCACTCAAACCAGCACCCTTGGGTAGTCGTGAAACAAAGCTGTTTGAATAAAAAGTAAGAAGTTTATTAGCCGCGCACAGTCATTCAATTCAGTCCATGGGGGGAGTTTCTTCTTCTGTGGTGGTTGCCGCTCGTTTCCTCTAAAAGTAGAATGACTGCCCTCTACTGAGAACACACTGCAGCTGGCTTAACGTGCACATTTTTATTTTCATTTTTCATATTCTGCAATCTATTAAGTCTTGATGTTTAATCGGTTTTACTCAATTGTAGTCCATTACGACATCATCTATAACCCCATAATCTATTTATTACATCTATAATATCCATTACTGAATATGTTCCAATGACACATAGAAAGTAATTGAACCCTGTATCTTTCTAATGATGTGCATTGTAATATTCTTATGTATCCCATTCCTGCACAACCAATACATTATAAATCCCTTTTTTCATAATGTTATTGAAGCGTATATTTCCATCTTTTCATAATAATTGTTGTTATATATTTTTAGAAAACGCCCACCACACAGTTATAATTCTTATTTATGTTTTTCTATTCTTTTCTATGTTTATATTTAAATTAATCTGATGCTATGCATTACATTAACGCACACTATGTGAACAATGTCTTCTTATACACTGCCAGTCCAGCACGGACTTTTTCAGGTCAACAACATTTTGCACACAAAGTACACGGCTTTCCACTTTTCATACCAATACTGCACATATTTGATTTGATTGTATTTTATTTGAGTATTTTGTCATATTATAATGTATGTAGTTTTTTGGTATATATATTTTTCATGTAAATATTGCTCTCTCTGATTCTAGTTTCATCCAGGGTAGTTCTGGTGTAGTTCACATTAAAAACCACGGGGGGCAGCAACGCATACACAAGGCGACGAGCGTGCAGCGAAATAAAAGAAGAAGAAGAAAGTACTTCTCTCTTCACTCAGCTGCGACTTCTCAACGTGTCTGCTTTTGACATCAAGGTAAAGCCATCTATTTGCATTTAATCCGTCTCTGTTATCGGTCATATTGCCTTTGTTTCTTTCTGATTTGGGAGTAGTCCGTCAACATGCCCGTGTTTTTGTTTTACGTTTGTTTAGTTAGCTAGCTTTAGCTTATGTTTGCCACAACCAAATCAGTAATTTGAAACGCTGTGTTTTGGGCCTGGAATTAAGTGCATACTCGGCTTAAAGTTATTCAGACAAAACTTACCTAAACTGTATTTGATTTGGGTAGACAGAGGTGAGACAGTTTGCGATGTGTTAATGTTATGCAATAATGAATCCTAGCCAATTCCTCATTGAGTTGCTTTTTTCAAAATGTAACCAAAGCTGTCACATTGTTAATGAGATTCAGTGATAAACAACACCTTCACTCCCTGTTCACTTGCTAGATTTGTCTTCACTATTAAGTTGTCCTTGAGCTCATTTGCGTGGATGTGTGTGTGAAGGTACTATTTCCAAGGTCAAGGATAAAGTGATAATTTCTATAAAAACAGTGACTTTCAGTTAACTTTCCCCTATATTAGCCTTAACTATTAAGCATGTTTAGCCAAACATGCATGGATTCATGCACTTACAACGATTGCTTTTCGCAGGAAATAGCTGTATATATTATCACTTTGATCACATAATATGTGCCGTGGTTAGCCTACTCATTGGTTCTGCTTCTCTTTCTTTGCCTGGTTGTTTTTCTGGCATGCAGTTGGGAGGGATTATTGAAGATATCCTGTCCTATAGCAGAAAGACTTTGCTATTGCATCATTGATATTGTAATCAAGGTAGCATCATGACTTTTAAAACTTAAATCCTTATTGACTACATTTTAATGCAGCAAATTGTTGTTGCAATTTGAACCCATCCTTGAAGGATGAAGCAATTTCTACATCCTTACTGCCATGTGATTCATCAGATGAGAAGGTCTAATCCAATTAGGATGGTAGCATGCCTGTTAGCACTCCTAAGCTTGAAGCTAAGTCAGGATATTTTTATGAGTAAGCTCCAAGGAGGAAAGCAGTGTACCAAAAGCAAAACGAAAAATAGTTTCTTTGATTGTATAGAGTTTATATTTGCATGATTCTTTTAGCTACAGCACACTCTTAACAAGAGGACCCTAGGATAGTAACAACTTCACCTTTTCTTTCTCCTCTCAAGGTCCTACACCATGTCTATTGTCAAGATCCACGCCAGAGAGATCTTTGATTCTCGTGGAAACCCCACGGTAGAGGTGGACCTTTACACTGACAAAGGTAGGTTTATGTTTATGACTTATTGAAAAATGTATATATTGACAAAATAAATCTAATATTATTAGTGATTGTTGAGTCACCACTGTTCTGTCCTCATGTACATTTCACAGGCTTGTTTAGAGCAGCTGTACCAAGCGGTGCCTCGACTGGAATCTACGAAGCTTTGGAGCTCAGGGACAATGACAAGTCCCGCTACCTTGGGAAAGGTGCGTAAGCCTATCTAGCAGCAGGAAGGCAGAACTGAGTACAGTTTATAATCTGTTGTATTTATCACAAGTAAAATCTTAGTACAGTATTCAATGTTATTGAATATTTGTCCCCATATTATTATTTATAGGCCTACAAGTTTAAAGCACAATTGTGAAATGCTATATTTCAACCTTTTTTTAAATGTAAAATGTTTCCCTTTCTCTTTTTTTCCTCCCTGTTAGATGTGCAAGGGTTAGTGAGTCATGATTGCCTGTTCCCTCTCAATTTAAATTTTTTTTCCAATTGACCTTTGACCAGTGGTTTTCAAAGTGTGAGGCACGCCTCCCCGGGGGTGGGGGGGTGCCAGAGAGCTTCAGGGGATGTGCAGCGTGATAACAAAATAACGAGAAACTGTGAAATCTAGCTAGTTAACTTTATGCGAGCGGCAACATGGATCGATTTTTTGTGAAGTTACCTAAAGTGAAAGAGGAGACAGCGCCTGGCAGAAAACGTCACTTGCACACTTTTGGCTGTCTGTGGAGACCGAGTTCCCCCACCTCGCCAAAAAGGCTGTAAAAGTGCTCATTCCCTTCACCTCCGCCTACCTGTGTGAGTGCGGGTTTTCCGCATTGACTTTGATCAAAAGCAAGTACCGGTCAAGCAGGGGCGGATCTACCGGGTTGGCAGCTTTCTTTTTGAAATAAAAGTTTTGACTCATCGGACATTTATGAGAGAAAATCCCTAATGTCCGAGTGCAAGTGAATGCAGCACAAGACGCGAGCCTTGTAACCCCGGCCCTGGCGCGAGCGAGGAAATGTGATTGGCGGCGATTTCATTTGAATGGGACGACGCATTCAGACCCCAAGTAGATGGAAGGAATGAGGTATTTGCGGTCTAAAATGACAGAAGAGACTGTCAAGTTTGGCTGTACTCAGCATTGAATCAAAACGCACTAAAACTTTGGATCTTGATAAGTTTGTGAGGCGTTTTGCTGAACAAGATGGTAATGGAGAAACCAGGTTTAGTGAAATTCTTACCTGGCTGGATTTTGGACTTCCTCTCGGTGTGTGATTCCCGGCCTGCTAGCCCCAGGCATGCTAGCTCCCTGCCTCCCAACTCCCAACCTGACACCATATGCCTCGGTAACAGCTAATTCAGCTGTAATAGGCATGCCAACTTGATGCTCTGCTCACGGATGACTCAATGAGCATAACAAACTGTTAAGATGATGACCTTACGTGTGTAAATATATATTCTTTGTGGGGGTCTGTCCCCAAGAAACAGTTTTAAGTCCTGAGAAAGTCAAATAAGACGGTGTGTAAAACTACACTGCCCAGCCAAAGAAAAGTAAACACTTTAACTAGGCCAGTAGGTAACGGCATTCCACTGGATAATAATACCCCTGCATTATAGCAACAACAACAACAATAATAATAATAATAATAATAATAGCAATAATAATTGCAATAATAATTGGGAGGGGGGGGCGTGGCTGTTCTTATGTTCTCTGAGGGGAATCTCACCTTCCCACACTTTGAAAACCCCTGGCCTATATGATAGAGAACTGTAGCGGATACGACCCGTTTCGTCTATGTGTGGCTGCAGCCTTAGTCAAAACACTGAATGTTTACACAACACTCATCCCTGCCCTCCTTTAAAGTACACACACACTCACACACAC